ATTGTTGTGTTTTTTTAAACAAAAATAACAAAATATTATTCTAAGAATACATTCCTTTCGTATCCTACATGTGAAAAAGTTATACATGTATTTTTGACTTGTATACTACTAGATCTTAGCTCAAGGGTTTCAAGATTAAGCGCCTATGTGCGAGACCAAATGGCCTGGGTTCGACCCCTGACGACAATATTGTGGATGCACACAACAAAAGAATCCTGTATTAAGACAAGTCAGTCAGTCAGCTACAACGTAGAACCAGGCACATATATGCATCGGTCCAAGTTGCCATACCTCATTAACACAACAAGATGAACACCGGATTCATAAAAGTAGTTAATTCAGAGGTGGTGATATATAAAAGAAAGATTGCATATAAGGATATAGTACAGGAAGAAAGATTTAGTACGAATAAAGAAAGATATGAAGAGAGTTTAATCTCTTAGTTTAAAGGAAGACACCATTGTGATCGATTCTGAGCCATGTCATCAAGAGTCTCCAACCATTGGTTACGATAGTCACGTGGACCCCAAACAAGTAGTCTGGATCTACCAACATGGCTCAGTATAGAAGTTAGTGACTTCAACCACTGATGCCACATTTTGTTTTGCCCGCCCACAACTTTCTTCCAACCATCTCCAACACCAGTCAGCATTGCGCGTCGTGGTAATCGGTATTCAGGCATACGTAACACGTGTCCCAACCATCTCAGTCGATGAAGATTCACAACCTCATCAACTGATTTACCATCATTCCTTAATACCCTGCGTCGAACCTCACTATTACTTACCCGGTGATCCTAGCAGACGCCAGCAATATTTCCAAGGCATCTGTGGTGTATTAAGACAAAGCTACTGTTAAGTGCTTTTAAGTTTTCAATGGTTTTCTAATTTTGATCGGTTCACAATCACAATAATATATATATATATATATATATATATATATATATATATATATATATATATACTTTGGTAATAGTATTTCTGACAACAATAAAATTGATGCACAGAAAACGAGAATATTTTCTATTAAAACATGATAACGTAACGAAATATCTCCAATAGTTCAACTTTTAAATAATTAACTAGTTGAAGAAAAAGGATAAGACTCGTGTGTTCATGGATTTGTAGCGCATTTGTTTTATGTTCAATTTGTGTGTGATACTAAGCATTTTTCAAGCAAATTATTGTTTATTCAGTGACTGAGTGCTGTATGTAAGTGCATAATATCCACTGTCAATTTTTTTTTCTAAAGCTCTGGTAAACTGGGATGAGGATGGGCTACAATGGAGTGTTTTCAATAAAGTTATACGTAGATAACTTTATATTGATAGAAATGAGATACCTAGTGAAAATTAAACTCTTATATACAACACTCAATCATTAAATGAACAGAAAAATGCCTGAAAATACTGGATATTGCAATATTATTGAACACTGAAAACAATGATGATTCACCATACGCATAAAAACGAACCTTTTTATTAGTTGTTATGTATTTTACAGATTTTTTTAATTTCACACTACAAATTAGTGAAACCGTACAAGTATAGTTTTAATGAGATGGAAGTGTACATACTAGACCTTGTACTGAATGTAGAGCTTAACATGAAATGGATTTTTAATTATCAACTCACTTGGTCGTGCAAATAATTGTTCAGTTAGATTCAAATCACACTCTAAGTGTATGAAGATTAGTGATACTACTTAGTTGCCAAGTCAAAGTAGGTAGAGAGAGATTGAAATCTGAACGAGATGGATACTCGCATATTGGTAGTGTTTGATAATAGATGATGTAGGTTGGGACCAATAAATAATCAATATTTAGGTTGGACCCAAGGTACGAGGTGAAAGTAGAAAATCAAACAATGAGCTTAGTCAGTCGTTACCGACTGAGATGGTTAGATATATATTAAATATACCACCCAACCACTTCACATATTAACATATGATGTTTGATCGTTGGAAGAAAGCTAGTGTTGAACAAGCCAAGGTGAGGTACCAGTATATTGATTTTTTTTAATTAATAACTGATTGATATGAGTCATAACATATCATGTTATAGTCTCAGGAAATGCCCTACGTAAAAGGTGGAAATTCTATTCCATATAAAAATGTACCAATCAATCACTGTATTCAGTGATCATTAAGACTTTTCCCATATATCTTGCCAAATTAGCATTGTAAGTTAGTCCCAGTATGAAACTAGTTGCACCATTTAGTTTTCTTAGTCTAACTGTGAGCTGAAAAGCTCAGTTTCAAATGTTTAAACTTTCGACTTGACTGATAGACAAAATGTAAGAATGTACGCTCTTGATAACGGAATTTACGATGAACTTCACATTCTTATTAAAAAAACAATATATTTTTCCAAGTTTCACATTGCGGAAGTATTTTCACATGTGAGTATAACATGAATAGAGAAAATGATTTGTAGGCATTCATTATGGTACTCTACAAATTAATTGTAACATCATTACAATAATTTACTTTTTCAACGTAATATACATATTGTATGTGATCATTATGAAACGTGAATAAAAACCAATTGAATTTTAACTCATTTCTCAAACATTCATTCATGTCGATTTACAACATGCAAATAACATTTAGTTGCAAAATTTGTGATATACTAATAAACATAATAACCAATACAAATCAGGTTCGATTCCCGCATTTGTGACCATGGATGCGCATTGCTGAGGAGTCCCATACTAGGACGAGATGGTCGGCCACTGCTTCCAGGTTCTCAATGGTGGTCTAAATTAGATAGACTCATTAATTTAACTTAAAAACATTTTTGTTGTTGAAACATTGCACATGTGTTTTGATACAGAGCACTAATTAGATATCATTAAATGATAGCTACATATGACTGGGCTAGAAAGAGCTTTTTTTCGGGGAATAAGATATGTGACTGATATGCTTGATTTCTCAAGGGATATATTATATCTACATAAATGAGTGCAAATACAATATATTCGGTCTAGTCAAAAGAAACTTTCTTCCCAGGCACGTTGTGCACAGAAATTCTCAGTATTAAGTATTGGGAACCGCGAATCACAACAACCTCATTTGTAACTACCATACAGAAGATTCAGATTGATTGTTTTAAGATTGCAAAACACAACAGAATAGACAAATTATTTAGAAATTCCCAAATATCAGAAGTATAGAGAACTACTCATATTCATAAATTATATAAATATATAAACATAATTTGATGTGATATAATAACTTAGACTAATACAAATTAAGGCCATGTTCTGACGTTTTTATCTGATTTAGTCATTAAGTTATATGCGTTGTAGAATCCCAATATTTATTTCAACACATTAACATTGATACTTGGGGGCATGCATCAGGAATATATGCATTACACTTGGTCATTCGATTCGTGTGAAGGCTGGAATGCTGCCCGGGTGGCCAAACGGAAGCAAGTGGTTTTCTTAAGGAGCCACTCCTCGAGCATTTCACCTAAAAGTCTAATCCATAAGTCAGTGGAGCAATGTTGAGAGATGTACCCGCTAACCTGGTTGAAGCTCCGGACGTTCGCGCTTCGTCCACTCCATTTCGTAAACAACCCGCAGCGAGTACGTGTCAAACTGACCTTGATAACTAACGTTACACTTTACACGAAGCACAATAATAATAATATTGACGTCAGCATACAAACGGTGAAACCATGAGAGCCAGTCACCTTAAAATATTGTTTTGTAAAATAATAATAATAATGATCTCGCGTTTTTAAACTATCTAACAAAACGAAGAAGTTATCGTTTAATTTAATTGTTACAACTGAATTTCACTAGACTGTATTGTTTGTTTGGATCAATACTTACATGAATTACTTGTTAGAAAAAATATTGATTTTGGCACAATCAGCTGATGCAAACACAAATCAATAGAACAGGTGATTTCAAATTGAATAATTAGTTCGAGGGGAGAGGTACAATGAAAATAGATTCGGTTTTATTGAAATATTATATTGATGTGTATTGGCAGTAACTATAAGAATAGCTTGTGAAAAGATCATTTTAAAAATTCGATGAAAATAACCCTTTTAAAACTAGGTTTTATTGCCTAAATCGTAGCTGCTACGTTATTGCATTGCTGAATGAAATGAGGTTTGACATAAGAAAGGTGTTCTCCCTTAAAGAACCAGTATCTCTAGCTATGTTACTTTCTGTAACAGAGTGAAGTTAAAAGAGATCGGCTCCAAAAATTCACACCACCTTGTGCTACTGATTTCTGTAGTCGGCAACAAGGTCATATAAATAGCAAGTCAACACATTTATAACTACTCAAAAAGATGCCATGTGTGACCGGCCTCAATAGTAGCTGTTCTCTGGACTTTACACTTACAATCCAAGGTAATCAACATCACCCTAAATTAGTTTCTACTTAGGGTTTCTGGAGAAATATCCTCCAGTGATATGTGCTCCTAGAAAGCGACAACGAACCGCATACCTCTAAGAACACCTGACGTTAAACTGGTTACTCTTTATTTGGGGAAATACGATTAAAAAAACCACTACCTTGTACCCCTGCCTTCGACATATCTCTGCTTTTCGGTTCTACAAAACGTAGATTACAGTATCAATTGTCAGTTTAATGAAGAGACAAAGGACATTTGATCATAACTATAAAAATTTATAAGTGGTTAGCTAAACTATTTGGCTATCGCCAACTGTTGTTTTGTTGAGTCCAAAGCTTAAGTAAACCAAACAACCAAATTCAGTATGAATTGAGAACCGAGTTATGGAATCCCAATTAATAAAATAAACTTAACATCTCATCAACATAGTTCACTCAATGTTAAGTTACTCAAACTAAGTTGGTCACATTACTACCTGAACAATAGAATTCAATCAGTTACTTTTAAACGAACTGAAAAACTATAATATGTTGGTCACTACACTACAGTACTACTACTCACACATACGCACATGTTATACAATAATAAAGTGAATAAATCAAATACAAGCAACACAATTAACTTACCGTTGACGATCAAACAAATTATTAGCCAGTAAAAGTTTACTCTCCATAACAATACCGAGAATTTCACAAAGACGATTGAATGCAATAATTAATTCTTGTGAATTTTGTGTATTTTCTATAAATTTCGTCTGTAATAATGAATTCTGAAAACAAAAGGTAGAGGAAATGAAAGGAGAAAAAAGACCAATTGAAATAAAATGCAGAATGACTTTTAAGACTAAGACAAAAATCAATCGAGTTCAACCGTGTCGAGTGAGAGGCAGATAACTACCGAAGACAATGGAAGTTGGTCACTTAATATCGTGGATTTGTTGAAATTAGACATTGACACCGTTGGATGACGGCCTAGTGGTATAGAGGTTAAGTGTTGCACGCGAGACAGAAGGTCCTGGCTTAAAGATCCGTGTTCGGGATCGTGGGTGCGCACTACTGAGGAGTCCCATACCAGGATGAAACGGCCGTCCAGTGCTTCTAGGTTTTCAATGGTGGTGTAACATCGATCGGTTCATGATCTCAAATAAAACTCAACAATCGCCACAACCCTATACTGATAACAAAATGTAATAACTTACAACTTTTTGTTGAATTATCTGTTGAAAACTTTTTATAGAATTCTGTTCGATTCCAATCATTTTTCTGGCTAGATCTACAGCTTCACACAGTAAAGGGTCAAGTTGTGAAAGACGTTGACTGAAATAACCTGGATCTAACGCATCACGTACACTGATCAAGTGTATATCATCTACACCATCATTATATGGCAATTTCGATGGGAATAAAGTTGACGAATATGTTGACGATGATGTGCGCCGTGGGATTTCTCTTTTATTCACTGCTCCATTGCAATCATTTGATGTAATACCATTGTTCATTGAATCAATAGAAATATCTTTCGAACTAGACATTGCAGTATTCAGTCCAGTCACAAGATTAGTAGTAGTAATGTTGGATGATGATTTCGTCGAAGGATGAGACATAGTAGAAGTAGTCATTTCATCATAATTTGATTTTGAACAATTAGTAACCATTGTAATCAGTTCACATAAACGATTTGTTTGTCTAAATTCAAGATTTTACAATTGAAAAAACAATAAAAAAAATAGACGAATGAACTATGTTTATCATCGAATGTAAGCTCTTTATTAAATACACATTTACTTACTGCCAGATTTAGGTCACATTGAATTGTATGTTAGGGACGAGGGTTAGTGATGCCACTCGTCTGGATGAAGCGAATTAAATGACGCTTGGTTCAAACTAATGAACTATTAGTTCAAAGTTAAATAATCTATCTACTAAACTATAAATGTGTATTTCAAATTTTGCTGATCAACATAGTACGACAGTTAAACAATGGAGGTACAAAAGAAAGTATTCAATCAACATATTTGGTAACTGACTCAAGTTTGGTAGTGGTGGACAAACAAAGGTGCAGGATCGGTTTAAGAAGTTATTAACAATTGGACTGAACCATGTTAATATGTGTAGGCTACCTGGTTGAAGTCCGCGTGATTATCATAACATACAATTAAAGACTTGGTGTGACATGTTTTAGAATTGTTCGCAATGGCGCAGGTTCATTCTCTCCATCTTTTTTCAGAACCTGAGTTCCGAAATCTCCTTAAACCTTTTTTCCTTCTGTACCCAGTCATTTTACTAATACGACAATTAATACTGTTAACATTCACACAACTTTAGATTTATCTCGAAATAATTTTATCTCACTGTGCCAATGCAGTACAGAAACTTGAACTGATGCAAATGTGTCGGGTTCTACGTTGCGCGTGGCATGAAATAGATCAATAAAGACTAACAATCTTTTGATCCTTAGTATGCCAACAACATTAAGATTCGAATTCTTATAAATGAATACGTTTGTGTGATAAAACGAAATGAAAAAAAAGATATGAATAAATTCCTAGAACATCTGCCAAAACAACTTGCTAAACGGCAGCAGTTGAATTGATAGATACAGTGTTCGAAAAGCCTCTGTATATACACTTACAATTTAGAGGAGATGGACCTAGCGAAATGCTAAGACTAAAGCTACGCAGATCAATCCAAAGGACTTTTAATACAGGTAAACTACAGTTAGTGTTTTCTACAGACCCGATGACCACTCCGACGTTGAAAGATAAATTGCTTATACTAGCCACTTCTTTCTGTATCTACCAATTCAACTGCCTCTGTGGAGCAAGTCATGTAAGCAGATGTTCTAGGATATTGTATATTCGGGCTCGTGAGAACCTCTCGGTGTGGTTAAGCGAAGGTATAGTTAAAACTGTTAACAGCTCCATTCAGGCTCACATAAATAAATGTATACACTTACGCTCTAACATAAACTAATTCACTACTGAAATTATCCGGTGGTTTAGCATTAAAATTGAATGGTGAATCTGGACCAAATCGTAACGAATGTATATCATGTAATGCACGTTTAATTATATCTAAGAACGCTGACTCATAACAATCAGATGCTGAAGAAGAAGGATCCTGTACATTTGTATCGCTACCATCTTTGGTGATGGAATATTGATGATGATCCATGATGAAACGTATATCTGAGGAATTTGTTGAATTTGTAGAGCCTAAACTATTTAAGCTGGTTTGAGAACCACCAGTATAAAAAGAAACTCCAGTAGGTTGATTTGATCCAATACAAGTGGATCCTGAATTATTTGACATAATACCATCATTAGCACCACTGACGACACCAATATGACCAGTACTTGTTGTACGAACACGTCCAGTACTACCACTACCAACACCGACATGTCGACCAAGATACAATGCAATCGTTTGTAAACCAACAGCTTTAATTGTTGACGATGGTAAGGAATAACGTGTCCCGACGCTAGATATAGCAGATTGTAAACAAACCCATTCGTATAAATTTGTTGGTTTAGGAATATTGTTAAAATTGAACTGAAAAATAAATAATCATAAAAGAAATTAGTTATTTGTAAACTTCCCAAAATCAGATAATTAATAAACGGAGTTTAAAAATAAATAGAAAATTTCGATCATGCACAAGTCGAACAAATAGGTCCAATAGACCCACTGAATGAAATGACGAAATGATAGTTCCTTATAGAAATTATTCACTTTCTTTTTTATAGTCAGCAAGAATTAGCTAAGGGCAAACTTTCTACAATTCAAGAACATATGGAAATCAAAACAACTACCAACCAACTAATATTAATATCAAAGTCACAATCTTCAATATGAACGTCAAAACAATCCAATTGAATGGAGCTGAAACTTCAACAACTACTACAACCATCATCAGAAACGTACAATTATTTATAAACAATGGTCTACACAATATACTCAATGTCCGTTGACCAGATACCATCAACAAAAACCTACCATGAGAGAGAACAAATCAGTTTCCAAATGAAGAGGAAATTAGGAAAAGGCAATGAAGGTGGATAGAACATACATTGCACAAATTATCAAACTGCATCACAAGACAAGTGCTCATTTGGAATCCACAAGCAAAAAGGAGAAGTGGAAGACCAAGGAACACAATGCGTCGGTAATTGGTGACTGATATCAAAAGAATGAACAGCAACTGGGAAGGATTGACCAAGACAGAGTCCGACGGAGAATCACCGTGGGTGGCATATGCTCCTCAGTGAGGTGTAACAGACGTAAATGTATAAAACGTTTATTCGCTGATTGGAAACTTATGCTCCAAGAGGAGTAAAAGGCTTAAAGAATTAAATAGGTAAGTAAAGCTTCTACAATAAAGTAAGTTGAATCACAAAAATTTTCTAATACCAAAGAATATGAGGCTGAATATCTTGAATCAACTACAAACTGATTTCAACTATCTTTTGTAAAACCAGCCTGATAGATCCTCTCGAATGTGATGGAAAAGAGACCTATGTATCTAGTTTTACAGGAGCAAGAAAAACTACCGTATAAACATGCAAATGGTCAAGTTGTAAAAAGTTAAGTTTTCATACAAATATTTACTGTATAAAATGTATTTCGAATTGACATTTCAAGACTCGTTTCAAGCATATAACCAGAAAGATCTCTCTCAAAACATAATAAAATTAAAAAATATAGATTGATGTAATCCTAAACTTTGAATCAGTCTTATCAGTTTTAATGTGACATCTTGTGATATACTAAGTGAACCTTTCAATATATAGATAAATCCAATGCGGAGCTTAAACCTACGATAAGTGTGCACTAGTGATAGTAATCTTCAAGTCATATTACTAAATAACCACATGTATTGAATGAGTGGATGGGTGATATCCATCTGGAAAAAAAAACAGTTAACCTACCGATTCTTTCTGATCAAGGATTTCACTAGTTCCAGCTACCAACTGCGGTGGTAACGGCAATTCTGATAATTCCTTTTTTAATTCGTTGAAGCTAAAGATAAAAAAGTGGAATGATTTCAAATTAGAAAAATCGATTTCAAGGTTATGGTGTATATATCAATCTAGGATGATGTTGGTTGAACCATATCACAACACACTAAAATGTTGACTAACAACTGTCTCGTGATTGACTCCGAATAAAGAACATACAAGTAAGACGTTGCAGATTGTTAAAAAAAAGTATTAACTTGTGAATGAGGGAATAAGATAACTGAGAATCAATGATATTTCGCTTCAGCATTTCTTAAGGTTGGGATTTCTATTAAGAATAGAGTTTACTGTTAGAAGTATGGTTAAGAATTACAGAAGGAGAATGTTAGATTGCATAATTAAGAATCTATAGACAAATTAGATTTAATTCATCATGTAGAATGCTACATCGTTGCTAAATTCTTTGATTTTGTATTGTAATTCAATCGTCCATATTTGATGCTTTCTGATTGGCTGAAAAAAGCTGGAAACCACAAAGCAATTCAGTAGTATAATCTGATCTTAACATCATTGATGTTTACTGGTTAACAGTATTTATCAATAACTGATTATTTATGGGTAAAGCACGTAAAACATTAGATTACTATTATTATTGTTATTACAAATCTAATTAAAATATGCACAATATTAGTAAATGGTAATCTTAAAATAATGCATATTTCAACATACTTGTACAGTTTTCGTTCCCAATCTGATACACATCCTTCAAATTGAACTAATCGACTTGTTGCAAACAACAAACGTTTATTTGTATCTGCCGCTACTTCGGCTAAATTAGCTAATGCAACACACCATCCCTAAAAAATAAAGCGACAAGTTTAGGAAAATATGGTTTCATTTAATTCAGAGTTAGACAGATATATATATATATATATATATATATATATCGAAATTGAAGGTTTTATCTCTTGGTTTCATAGAATACATAATGCCTACAGATCGTACCTGCCACCTTTATGTGGTGATCAAGACTGTATATCGTATCAACTCAGTCGAGCCACATCAGTTGGGAAATTTGTTCCTTTTTATCTTACTATACCTTGTATATCAGTTGGAGGGCAGTAAGAACAAAAGTAACAAACACATGATCCGATGGTGAAGACATAAAGTCAAATGTACACAGGATAAAAATGGCAATAAGGTGTTTTCTTTAAGCAACCAACAGCAACAGTGATGCTACCTTGTGACAACAAGAGAGTTGATAAAAGATTCCCCAATTAAAATAGCATACTTTACTTTGACTCATGGATTTCCATTGCTGGCGATAAGGCTTTAAAAATACTGGCCTAATACTCTAAAACTTTACAAAAAGACCATCTGTGAATAGTATCAAGCAGTTATCTCTTCAGTGCTGCGATCACACTCAGATAGTCAAAACAACTAAATTATTTTGCTTTACAGTTACCTCGAAAAGACGTGTCCTACAACAGTATGAGAAACGGAGATATAATAATCCCCTTCATACTTCTAACACTACATGAGATCAGTTTGACCAATTGATATAGAATCTCTAAAATCTTAAGAAACATGATATCTCAACGAATCATTTTAGTAGCTACAGAAAAACGAACTCATAAAACCCATGTATGTTTTATTTTAAGTCAGAATAGAGATGTGAATCACTGAAATAATGTCAACGATTGTCAACTTCTGAAATACAAACACACATGATAACGCCCTTCATCAACTGTAGTTTTTCTTAACCTAAAGGGTATTATGAATTGATTATGCAAATATAATCATGTCAAATTTTCAGACCACAGAATATCAAATTTAAATAATATAAATACAGAATAAGAGTAATAGATCAGTAAGGTCCGACTGATATCGACATTTTTCGAAACTTAAATAGTAATACCAAAATTATTTTAGTAAAATGTACATGTAACAGCTAATCAACTGTCAATGAATTATAAGAGGTTTAAATGTCATGAACTGAATTTAACAAGGAAAATATTCACACTAAATAGGAAGTATATATAGGCTGATAGAGGTATAAATACTAGCAGATACAAAATCCCACTTTATAAATACCAATAATTGTATTTGATTTAAACAAGAATCCCTTTTATCTAACTGCAAACATATACATATCGACAAATCACAAGGTGAAATGATGAAATCGCATTTTATACCATTTATAATATTGTGAACAATTAATTTGTATTCAACGAACATACAAATCCATAGAAAAGTGATAACCAGTTGGAAATTGGCATAAGTTACTAAATATGAGTGATTTATAGTAAATCAAAGATTTTAGGATCCTCGTAATTCATTAAGAAATCTCTATTTTATTGTTCGATACAACTAAAGTTTGATTATTTTCAATAAATTTAGAAATGTATAACATTGAATAATAACTCAATGCTTTAAATGTCAAGTGCTAGCTACGATATCTGAAGGTCTTCTATTCAATGATTACCGTTACTGTATTAAATGAGCACTAACAAAGTCTTATACTAGGATAAATCTTTTAATCAGTACCTATTGGTACTCAATATTTGTCTAATGTTTGTAAAGAAAATCATAAAATCCTACAGTTTCCACAGACCCCTCATAATATTGAATAGCAGCAAGCCTCAAGCTACGATCGAGTACTACTAACTCACCCACTGTCTCTAATACTCATGATCTATAATATCATTTGATATCCATCACAAACGACAACTGTAAATCGGTAAGCTCTTTATTTTATAATCCAACTGATCAGCTAAACTCTATTTTATTCCGAATTAAACAAATCATTTGAAAGATTCTTATCAGTAGTCGTAACATTCGATAACCAAATCCAAATGATCTGCGTATGTGTGTCTGTTAAGTTAGTAATACGTACGAACAAAACTTAACAATCAGACATGAATTCAGCTTTGTTTAAAACACAATAGTTGATGCAAATTATTACTAAAAAAACTGCTCGATTATTCCGATAGAAATGCGGTGGAATGTGGTGTTCAAACATGAAGTGTCTGTTTATCAGTAATTGCAGTTAAGCTTCATATCTTAGTTGTCATATAAATTAGGTTTTCATGTGGTTTTCAACGTGGAAAATATTGATACTAATTTGACTGAAACATTCAATCCATCTGGTTGAAAGTAGAATTCATTGACAAACGAATCCTATTTATTATTATGGCTATTGGATTTTTGCGCAAAATTCGAAACGCGATAATGAATACCTTGAAAGTCATAAAAAACTAAGTAAAACTTACAAACATGCTTTAAATTAATAGACATGAGGGGAGTGTAATATAGACTATGATTCATGAATGTATGGAGATCACTTATATGTGATTGACGTTTACAATAATAATAAAAAACTGAACATGTATTCATTCATGTGACAAAGCATTATTTCCCTCTGTTCCTAACCATTACCCCTAAACCTTAATGCTAAATCCTAAAATTAACCCTATGAGGTAATTCTAGATAAAAACTTTATTCGAGTTTCTATATAATCAATTATTCACTTATATCACTTACATTCTGATCAGCTAAATATTGGCTTCCATGTCATTTAAAGACCCGCTAAAATCATAACTAAATTATACTTTTAACATTGACCTATCACGTTTAAAATACTTTTCAATCAATCGCATTATTAGTGTGTAAATATACTACTGATAAAAAGTCACACAAACTACATATATGCGGACGTATAAACCTGTATCATTTGACGTTGTTCAGAAACCAATTGTTCAATTGCATTGGCAGCTTCACGACCAATCGGAGTAAGTGAACGAAACATTCAATCCATCTGGTTGAAAGTAGAATTCACTGACAAACGAATCCTATTTATTATTATGGCTATTGGATTTTTGCGCAAAATTCGAAACGCGATAATGAATACCTTGAAAGTCATAAAAAACTAAGTAAAACTTACAAACATGCTTTAAATTAATAGACATGAGGGGAGTGTAATATAGACTATGATTCATGAATGTATGGAGATCACTTATATGTGATTGACGTTTACAATAATAATAAAAAACTGAACATGTATTCATTCATGTGACAAAGCATTATTTCCCTCTGTTCCTAACCATTACCCCTAAACCTTAATGCTAAATCCTAAAATTAACCCTATGAGGTAATTCTAGATAAAAACTTTATTCGAGTTTCTATATAATCAATTATTCACTTATATCACTTACATTCTGATCAGCTAAATATTGGCTTCCATGTCATTTAAAGACCCGCTAAAATCATAACTAAATTATACTTTTAACATTGACCTATCACGTTTAAAATACTTTTCAATCAATCGCATTATTAGTGTGTAAATATACTACTGATAAAAAGTCACACAAACTACATATATGCGGACGTATAAACCTGTATCATTTGACGTTGTTCAGAAACCAATTGTTCAATTGCATTGGCAGCTTCACGACCAATCGGAGTAAGTGAACGAATAAGACGTAGTCGCTCTTCAAATACCTTTTCAGATGGAGCTAACTCTAATAGACTGGCAAGTTGTCGTGGATACCCTCCATCTGTGATATTGGAAAGAAAAGAATTTATTCATTTTTCGTAGTTAAATATCGGCAAAAAAACACGGTTGATAATTTGTTTAAAGAAAGAAAACAAATGATGTATAACTTAAACTTGTAGAAGACTCTTGAAACATGCTAAAACTGATAACGAAACCAATCTAACCAATTACGTAACTCATTATTCCAGAGGAAAACTTTAGAATTCCATTGTTATATTTCTCTCTTACGGTTATAACCTAGCTATTCCTATTGCTTAGTAGTCTTGGACACCAAATAACTCGACAAGTCCCCAAATCAGAACACGGTTGAACAGGAAAGAGATTATATTCCAAATAACAAAGTTAGATGGAAGTAAGAAGCACAATAGGGAAAACGTTAGTATATTTATAGTTTTTACATGAGAAGATTCTAGAGCATTCTCCAAGTATCGACTAGTGCTGATTGAATAAGAATTAGCCAATCAGCTTGCAGCAAAGCAATCGTGCATCGAGCATGCTTTAATCCAGTCTATGTCCCGCTAACATCCATAGAATACTAACTGATCGGAATATTTTCAGCATTTTAACCAACTCTGAAGACTTTTTCACAGAACTATAGTGAAGTTTAAATTGGACAAGTAAAATTAGAAAAATAAATCTATTTTGGAATTTAATAAATTTATCACGTATAGCATAAAACCGATAGGCATATTGCAACTAAATTGAACGTATACACCTAGACGAATTTCGAAAAATTGGAAAATGTACAAACCAATAACTGCCCATCTTTACTGGAAATTCGGAAGAAAAAAACGTATAATTTTTTGAAACCACCTAGCTTGTTCCAGTAATATTCAGTCAGTCAAAAAGTACGACCAGGCAAATATATGCATCGATCTAAGTTGCCATACCTCATTCGCACAACAAGATGAACACCAAATTTATATAACCAGTTACTTCAGTGGCGATATGATACAGGGAGAAAAAAAATAGTTTGTAGAAAGAAAGGTATAAAGTAATTTTGATCTCAAGGTTTAAGGGAAGACAAAGAGTGTAATGGTAAACAAATTCGAAAACATATAGCAAACTAGTTTAGCTCGTTGACTGGTTTGTTAGATTGAAAAATGAATAAGTGTTAGCGGATTTATACTTAAATAATAAAAAGAGTACAATGTAATACATTTATCAAGTAAACATTTAAGTATTTGGGAGTGTTACAAAGTTTGCATAAGGGAACTATGATGCTTGCCAATCGCTGACATTGAAATAGGTGAAATGGGATTACAATGGGGGAACTACTGGTCAGAAATAGAGCGCTCTAACTATTATTTCATTGTAACAAGTAAGGATATAATGTGATATTCTCGGTATAAATCATATGCTGTACGGATATTATGTAATTTTACAAGAGGAAATGAAAAAAAAAACCATTTAATGGGTGATTTTGCAGTTAGGTGTAAAGGGATAGGTATAGATGGTAAATTGGTTGATCAGGATGCAATTCTTTATCAATTAACGGGATGTGTTACACATACCTATTTACTGTCAACTCCGATTTATATTGGTGGAAAGATTATGAACCTAATCACTCAGGTTTGTATCACTTAGGGTAACTACTTATTTGAGGTTTGTTGTGGATGTGGAATCAATGTTTATAATCATATGAGTTCTTTTTTCAGCAGAAATGACAAAAAAGAATGACATAACAACAGGTCTAACTGCTTGCAGTGTTCTTGTTCTGACTGGTAGTTGTGGCTACAGGAGCTGGTTGGACCAATCAATAGGCGTTAAGATTTCGTAGTCATTGATCACGGTTATTGAATTATTGATTAAGAGAAGGTCAACAATTTATCATTAGATGTACAGGTCGCTGATCTAATAGACGTACATTGGACCCCACAATCAACTACTCCTACAATTAGAAAACCCTATTATACAAGCAATCAATATGAAGCTGAGGATACAACAATTTTGACTGTTTTATTTCTTTTACAATCACTAAAAATATCGTTTTTAATCCTGATTTTTTCTTGTTGTAAATGTTGATTCAAGGCATATTTATTTTAGATACTGCTTTTCATGATGATTGACTGGACTATGATACACATTACTAATATATCCAAATAACACGGTTTACATTGGACTCTTCGAAAGACTACATTATTGAAGGGTTTCAAGAGAGTGTGGTAGATTAAGACTAAAGATGGACAGAGTGGACTAATGGACTGTACGTTCCCACTCCTCAGTGGTATACAGCAATGATTTTGAACTATGAATACTTTTATCTGATGATTTTAGTGGGCCAACGGTTAAAAGTACTGACAAAAGCCTTATTTTTAAATCTAATTCATTTTATTACGTAAAATAATACAGAAAACAATTAAACTAACCATTGACTTGCAAGACATCTGGTTTTTGAACAGTTGTATCATTTGAAAATGTTTGCGTAAACACATAAATTGGATTGGTTTTATCCTGAATAAGACATAGAAAGAATACAGAGAGAATAAAAGCACAGAGTTGATCATGTCATCTGAACTAAACTGATGTAATTTCAGTTTTAATAATATCACAATTGATTATCAAAACAAGAAATAACAACGCATGCTGTAGACATATGCAGATATTTATTACAAATATAAAAATGATTTTCATCGGCAACTTATTTACGAAGTATATGTTTATAAACTTGGCTGGGAGTCATGATAATCATGTGAAGAAGGCCAAGGATACCGTTAAAAAATGAGATTTGCTAAATCATGTGAACGTAGAAAATAAAATGTCCAATCAAAACCAAAGCATGTTGACACAATTTTACAGAACGGAAACAAGTAAATGGGGATTATCAACTCTATAAAACAGTCTACTTTATGTGATGTAGTACCCAAATCACAACTCATATTAACTGGACGTACACTTGAGATAAAAACCTTCAGATCGAACCAAAGTAGGTGAAGTGAGGTTAAAACTTATAACCTAAGGGTTGAAAGTTAAGTGATGCAACCAATACATGATCACTATTTTACCAACACATAAGTATCATAAACTAACGGAAATGACTTATTGAATATAGTCGACCAGTCATTGAATTCATATCATTACAGTCAGAGAATATTAATGCAACAAAAAACAGCCAACCAACCAGTCATAAGCAAAATAAAACATAACCCATATTTATAAATCATCAGTTCAACCTGCCACAACACATCACAAACAACAAGACGAAATTATCATGATAAATAAAAGAGTGATAGGAGAACTAACAATACTAATGTTTGTGGTGTTGGTAGCAGAAAACATTAGGAATAGATAGAGTGTGATTCGAGAAGACAAAATGAATTCACAAATTAAAAACCAAGTTCTAAGAGAAGATAAGGAGTGAATGCATCTGCATCATTGTAACCTATTCTGGTTCACTTTACCAAACATGTTCAACTATTGGTTACAATAATCAAACCGACACCAACCAACCAAGTAGTCTACACCGAATAACACTGTTCAATCCAGCAGTCAGTGAACTGATAAACTGATAACTCGTCATGGTTTTATTGGCACTGGTTTGCTTTCTTCCAAACTACTTCCATATAAACCAATATCTGTAGAATTTTGGAAATGATGACACCTTGTTCAAAATCACCATTATCTCATATCATGGGTAAATTGTTGTTACTTAATCAAGTCAAATTAAAATTACTACACTGGAATGATTAATCTTTAAACATATGTACCCAGAAGTGAAGTGTAGGTTAGTTTTTTTCTTCAGAGAATCACCTTAAAACTAAAATGATAAAACAATAATAACGAGAAACAAACTACTTGAAAATAGTGTGCCAAAGGTTTATTACTATTAAAGCTGAGGTGTATGTTACTTATGTCGACAGACATAAGTAGTATCTAACAGCAGTCAGAAGTTGAATGCATGGCAGAAAAAGGTTGAGAAGATCGAACTGAAGAGAACAGATATGTAAACAGAGAGTAATTGCAGTAGCAATCGGAATGAAGGAGCGATTGATTATGTAGGAGATAACTGATGGAAGATCTACAAATGAAGTATTTAATGTATAGTTTTCGTATTTCACGAAGACATTCTGCAATTTTGTATTAACGAATAAATTGGTTTTCCCCACCCATCACTACAAAGCTACTCCTCATAATTGATTGATCACTGGGTAGTGATCTATGTAATGTATATCAAGTCCTCCTCAGTGCAATTCTATTGACCAAGTTGCAATGCGGCCACTAATCTAGGTGACTCAATATCGCGTGCACTATATTGCGATGAGATCGAATCCGTCAGGGAGCATCAGTTCCATCAAGATTATAGGTACACCTTGATGACCAGTGCTAAATAGCACGAAACCTAGGTTCAGGGTTTCCTATCGACTACCTCCAACCACCATCTAATGTTAAAGCTCCTTAAAAATTGAAAACCTTAATATATGAACCTGAAGTTCATACTCAGTCAGTCAGTCAGTCAGTAACAACGTAGAACTTCGTACGTACGTACAGCAGTTCGAGTTGCCACACCACCTTAGCACAGAGATGCAGTTGTCGATTTAAATCCCGTAGTGGTAGAGGTAATAAGAGTATAAGCAGTAATCGGGAAGATTAGGGTTTGGAGATGTTATTTAAAGAGTATAATCCAGTGAAATAAATTTGGAAAGAGAAAAAGAAAGGGACATGAAGAATTCAGAAGATTAGAATTTGGAAGAACACAAAGAGTGGATGCACCTGCGCCATTGCAAACGATTTTGAGCCATGTCATTCAGGGTCTCTAATCATCGGTTGCTATCATCTTGCGGTCCCCAACCAGGTAGTCTACACCTACCAACATGACTCAATCCACTTGTCAGTGACTTCATGGACTTGTGCCATGTTTTGGTCTGGTCGCCCCTAGCTTTCTTCCAACCTACTCCTATACCACTGAACATAGCACGTCGTGGCAGTCGGTCGTTGGGCATACGTAACACGTGTCCAAGCCATCTCAACTGATGAAGTTTCACCACTTCATCAATCGATTTGCCATCCTTACCTAGTACCCGTTTCCTAACAACTGTGTTACTTACTCGATGGTCCCATCATATACGAGCAATGTTTCGAAGACACCTATGATCGAATACTAGTAACCTACGAATATCCTCTACTCTTACCAGCCATGTTTCACTGCCATAAAGTAGGACGGGACGAACTGATGCGCACTAAACACGTCCTTTGGTTGATAGACGGATATCTCGCCTACGCCATAAATGACGCAAGTTGGCAAACGCTAGTCGAGCCTTCTGTATCCGTGCTGAGATTTCGTCACACACCAAACCACAAGGGCTGATGAGACTTCCAAGAGAAGTGAAGCGATCGACACGCTCAATTACTTCACTCCCTATCATTAGTTCGGGTTTCGATGCAATCCAATCCTGAAGCAACATTCTACATTTCGAGGGGGAGAATCGCATCCCGAACATGCTTGCATTGCTGCTTAGAGTGGTCAGAAGACTCTGCATTTTGTCAGCGTCTTCGCCAAATAAAACTATGTCATCAGCATATTCTAAGTCAACAAGTAAATCTCCTGGTAGAAGTTCAACCCCTGGAAATTTAGATGAGGAGAGTGTTATCTCTAAAAGTACGTCGACCACAAATTTGAACAAGAATGGGGAGAGTGGACAGCCCTGACGAACACCACTTGAGGTAATCAATTCTGATGACAGTTCGCCACTAGCTATCATTCGACCAGTTGTGTTCGAGTAGAGAGCCTTCATAAGGTTAATGTACTTCTTTGACACTCCTTTCAGTGACAAACACTGCCATAGAACCTCACGATCAATAGAGTCGAATGCCGCCTTAAGGTTGAGAAATACTACCATTGTGGGGCGTCTGAATGTGTGTCTGTGTTCTAGAACCTGATATAATGTGAATATGTGGTCCATACAACGACGTCCAGGTCGAAAACCAGCCTGATTTTCTCTAGTCTGCTCTTCATGAGCTTTAGTTAGGCGTCGAAGTATTATTGAAGCTAATATTTTAGATACTATATTTGTCAAACTGATTCCTCTGTGATTGTCACAAGAGGACTTTTGTCCTTTCTTATAGACTGGCACAATCAGTGATTGAGACCAGTCAGATGGGATTACGTCCAGTTCCCAAATTCTACCTAAGACCTAAGTTAATCTCACTGCTAATACTGGACCACCATCCTTAAAAATCTCAGGAGTAAACCTGTCAGGGCCTGCTGCTCTCCCATGCTTCAGATTTCCTATGGCTTTTTCAACCTCGTAAAGGGACGGAGGACCTACATTAGCTTGCCATTCAGGTTGACTAGAGATCGTGGGAAACCGAAGTGTGGCTGAAGGCCAGTTGAACTGATCCCTAAAGTGTTCTGCCCATCAGCCCTCATACCCGTAACAGCGCACAAGACCAAGTTGGTCACATTCAAATCCTTCCTACACCTCCTAATACCTTTCTTATCTTCATGACTAACCCTCCTCACGTCTCTGAATCACCTCGCACTACTAGGGCAAACGATTCGAGTACGTGGAACGCTATTCCTGGTCTCCTGAAACCACGCTCTAAACTGCACGTAAGAGCTTTTAACGTACGAACACTTTGCCAAATAGGACAGCAGGCTTCCTTAGCTAGGACATTAGAATCTCGTGCCATCGATGTGTGCTGCGTCTTCGAAACGCACATACAGGATCCGAGTAGCATCATTCATTTGACCTCACCATGCCTAAATAAAGAACCGACTCGATTTACGCTTCGTGTATCTGGAAGCCCTGATTCTGCTACCCGTGGCCTCGCCGGTGTAGGTATAGCATTGAGTCCTAGGGCAGAACTAGCTCTCTTAGAGTGGATCCCAGTAGACAGTCGTTTGTGCGCTGTCCGACTGAACGGAACAGTAAGGATCCGGAAAGATAGGGACACTCGTCGTTGCCTCTTCGTCGTCTCTGCCTACTCTCCCATTGACTGCAGCTCAGATGATGTAAAAGATGAGTTTCACAGAAAGCTTTCCGACGTTCTCCGAAAAGCTAGGCGCTCTGATGTAGTAATAGTGGCCGGTGACTTTAACGGTCAAGTAGGTAAACTAAGCGATAGGGAAAGACACCTAGGTGGATCTTATAGTATCGTGGCTAAAAGAACAAATAATGGCGACCGTCTGTTGCAGACAGCTATGCTCAGATAACCGCCTGTTCCTTGCAAATACTAACTTTAAGCATAAGGAAAAACATCTTTTAACATGGTGACCCCCTAATTCGTCCCAACGTTGGACCCAAATAGATCACATCGCTATTAGCCACCGATGGAGGGGCTCGATAGAAGACTGTCGCTCATTCTGGAGCACATGCTTAGATTCAGATCATGCTCTAGTGCGAGCGCGTATTTACTTGCGTCTTACTGGACGTAGGAAAGACGCTGTAAGGAAACCTCTCAGGGGCCTACTTAATGATAGTCAAGCTAAGAGTATATTTCAGGAACAACTAGGAAAACAGTTAGGCAGCCATGTATGTGATGTCCACCCCGAGGCAGCATGGAATGATATCCGAAAAGCTGTGGAAACAGCAGTGATATCTGCTAGTACGGTAAACCAGAAGGTTAGGGAGCAACACTGGATCTCAGCAGCATCTATCGCACTGATAGATGCTCGGAAACTAATTCCACCTGGCTCTGAACATAACGAAGAGCGGAGTCAGCTTAAGCGCAAGCTGAAAAGAAGTCTACGCAATGACCGTGAACAGTGGTGGGTAGTGAAAGCAAGAGAGATGGAATAGGCAGCGGCAATAGGTAATAGCAGACAATTGTTCAGACTCGTTAAGGAAACCGGTATTAGGAACCCGACTGTTAGCGAAACACTGTCAGAGAAAGATGGGCATTGAAATTGATCAACCGTTAAATAAGATTAATAACATCTGAAAGATAGAGATACTTAAATTACTTGCGGCGAATTCACCAATAACTACAGAGAATCATGATAAAACCAAACACAATATAGGAAAGTTAAGTGTTTGTACGTAGTTAGGATGCAATCCTGATTCATCAAAGTTTCATGCTATCTGGTATTCGTTGGTAAGCCGTATCTAGAATTTTGTGATAACTGATTTAACCTGTAATGTACGCATCACACTACACTTTTGAAAAGAATCATATTTCTCTGGGGAATTATCTTTACGATTAATTTATTATTACTCTAATGCATTTTTTAGATTGCAGAAAACATGAACAATGCATAGTATAAAATTACAACTTGACTGGAATCACTTTTAAATAAATAATGATGCACATAATCATTATTTAGTGTAAAGTACTCGTTCGAGTGATGTGTGTATAACATTATACATAAATGTATATTTCCGAAAATTACAGTACCCTACCTAATAGAAACAATGTTTACTTACACTGAATTCATTAATTAATTACTTTATCCATTTCTTATGTACACAATTAAATTTGACACCATTAGTAGTGATGAGTGCTTTACAGTTATGTGAAGTATTTACTGATAGAGAGATAGTTGTGATTTATTACAAATAATTAAAATAACCCATAGTGTCATTGAATAAGAAAAAGAAGAATTCAGCGAATAAAATTTTCTTCGCTGAATTCTTCTTTTTCTTATTTATTACAAACTTGTGAATTATTGAACAGTAAAACCAACGAAACATTTGACGACCACTTTTACCCCTAACATCGTTCATAGTAGACAAGAATTAAACCAGATGGTTATCTTTTAATTTCATTGACAGGTGAGTAGTAGTATCATACAGATGTTTTCGAAGTTGATATTTGACTAACTTGTATCACTCTCAGCCTAGGTGAGAAGTCGTTCTCCCACGAATATACACAGAACCAGTTCGAATTACATTATCTATACTCCTAATGTTTTCTATTACCAACACCACAAACATTAGTATTGTTAGTTCTCCTATCACTCATTTATTTATCATGATAATTTCGTCTTGTTGTTTGTGATGTGTTGTGGCAGGTTGAACTGATGATTTATAAATATGGGTTATGTTTTATTTTGCTTATGACTGGTTGGTTGGCTGTTTTTTGTTGCATTAATATTCTCTGACTATAGTGATATGAATTCAAAGGGATTGAAATAATAATAATAACTTGAGGTGATACAATGGGTTATTCACAAATCGCCGAGTGATCAACCAGTATCAACTTTTATACACCGCATATCACAGTGAGAAGTTGTAGAAAAGTATGGAATATAGGTTGGAAAGTATGAATGAAATGGGCAGAATGAAAACTAAGGAATAAGATTTGAGCTCAAGATCGACAGAAAATTATAAAGAATGAATACATCAACACAACAGAAACGGATTTCAAACTAGGTTCTCTGAGGCCCACAACTATAGACTATTCACAGGCACTAAACACAGAAAGTTAGAATTTCTTTAAAGATACAACAAACTAGTAGAAGTCCAAGGATACATAGGTCAAGACTTGATCGTAATCGGAGGAAGGACACTACTCCTAGCACTTATTAAACCTAAATATTACGTTGCTAGCCGATATAACACGAACGTCACAGTAAGCACGGCAAATGACCATGAGTAAAACATAAGCTGAATTGCCATATCGAACTATCGTGTGAAACGCTAATAATAACAACAATCATAATGATAGTAATAATAATAATAATAACAATTATTATTATCATTATTATGCACAATCTAACCAGTTCAATGTTACTAAGCAATTTTAATCAATCAAGTGTTGTGTTCTGCATTATACACAACTATATATGTATCATAAGGAAAGAACCTGAGAATAAGAAAACCGTGTAAAAACACGTTTATATTGTTGGAGGGTTAAAGTGTTGTTGTTGTTGTTGTTTTTGTTCTAATAAATACAACATTTTTGGTGAAAATTAAAAAACAATTCTTTGTTCAGTTGAGAGAAACTTTCACAGCATAGAATTAAAACTTTCACAATAGATATATATCATTACAACTAAAGCTGTGACCTGAGAACATACATCAGCACTGAAATAGTAACTTACTTGAATAATATAAAAATATGTTATAAGTACAATGAAAATGAGTAAATAAACTTAACAATTTATTTGTGATGAACCATATTCCTAGTTGGTTCCCGCTGCCTGCTTAGAGTTCAGTTCATGAGATTATTCATGAGACTATACTGGTTAATATGATACAGAATTAGAAATAATAAAAGATAATAGGTGCATTCACTCGTTCTTTGTCTTTCATATCCTTCTAGAACCACGGTTTCGAGATTAATTTAAACCTGTCGTTCCAAAAATTCATTTTTTCTTCTCTAATCATATTGTCTGTGTTAAATGTTTTTACTACCATGAATAATATTACTATTTCTATTATTGTGTAATTCACCTTCACAATTTCACCTAAGTGTATTGATATGGTGTGGCAACTTGAAATGATGTACACACGCACCAGGTTCTGCATTGCATATGACTGATTAACAGATTTGTGATTATAAATAGATAATACATTTTTTATATCCCAATGAGTAGAAAAATTAGGTTTTCTGAAGTTTCCTGACTTAGTGTAAGCCACTTCTTCAGAGAATAAATAACCAAATTAAAATTAATCCAAGTTTAAATAGTACAACGGAACACGTGGCTTACATACTAAGTTGTGAGATGTCAGAAACCCAATTTTCTACTCATCAAGATCACACAGATTTATTATTCTACTACTAATAACAATTCAAACAATTTATTATAAGTGAAAACTATATTTGAAATAATCCCAGCGATTGAAATCTAAGTAATTCCAACGTTTCTTCCAGCAAACTTGTCTGAACTTCTTTAGGATTATTATCCAAATTTTGTCAAACTATTCGGTCTAATATTGACGAATATTCTTGTAAATGTTCAATTTACTTGAAACTATCCATGTCAAAAAACTTAATAGCGATATTTTTTTAGAACAAATATATTGTGACTAGCAGTGGAATATATATACATACATAGTATGTATGTGATTTAGTAACACATTGGCTGACAGTATTTCCAGGGAAGTGTTGATTATGAATAATTAAAGAATTGTGATAAGTAGCACACAATTATTCGTTTAACGACTACCCACTCTTTCATGTTTCTAATCAATAAAAACTCATCGACACAGATATATATCAACTTGCGCAATAAACACCAACAATTAAATTGATCGACAACGTTGTATAAGTTACACAGTTTGTTTCCACTATTTAATAAACTTGAGTAGAGCTGTGGTTTACTTGTGTGGGAAACTTGATGACAAAATAATGCCTGATATCCTTGAGTAGTACACAGATCACAAATCATCGGGATTAAATCTTATAAGATTATCATAAACAAACAGCCATTCAGTCGCAACGTAAAACAAGGTGTATATGTACATCGGTACAGGTTGCCATACCCAATTAGCACAAAAATGTAAAATAGTTGGAGAAAATCCCGGAACAGTAGAGGTAGCAACAGTAACGGTGGTATAAGAAGAGATTAGGCATTGAAGTTACGATTCAGGAAAATATAGATTAGTGAAATAAAAACAAAACTGAGTAGTTCAGAAGCTTAGAATTTGGGGGAAGACAAAGAATGCATGAGCGTGGGCCAATGAAAACAATTTTGGGCAACCTCACCTAAAGTCTATAACAATTAGTTACAAAAATCACGCAGATCCCAACCAAGTAGTCTACATATATTAATTAATTACATATTTATTTATTTATTTATTTGAACACATGAATATTGGTACAAGAGAGCGCCAATATATATATTAATTACATATATTAATACACTATACTTAACCTCAAATACTAATAATCTACGAATATCCTTGATTTTGAGAGGGCAAGTTTCAGACCCATAGAGCAGAACGGAACAAACTGCTGTGCAGTAAACTTATCATTTGGTTAGTAGATGGATATCTTGACTACCTTACAATTGACGCAAGTTGGAAAATACCAATCGGACTTTCTGGATTTTCGCCGAGATTTCGTCAGATACCAGTTCATCGAGAATGATGAAAACCCCTAATATAAGAGAGGTGATTGACGGACTTAACTACTTCACTCCTTACCATTAATTCAGGAACAGATGTAGGGCAATCCCGAAGCAACCTTTTGCAGAGTGAGAGAATCGCATTACAAATATGCTACCATTGTTCCTTAAAGTGGTCCGATGACTGCATTTTGTCGGTGTCTTCACAAAATATAACTATATCATCTACGTGTCCGATGCCAAGGAGTAAATCTCCTGGTAGAAACACACAACCACTCAATAATAATAATAATAGTAATAATAATAATAATAACAATAACAATAATAATAATAATAATAATAATAATAATAATAATAATAATAATAAGAAGAAGAAGGAGAAGAAGAAGAAGAAGAAGAAGAAGAAGGAGAAGAAGAAGAAGAAGAACAACAACAACAACAACATGACGGTATATTACACTTACCAAACCCGCACCATAAGTTGACAGTTTATCACCTGGTTCCAATTGAAAACCACCTGATACTAAAAGAATTTGTTTATTCAATGGTAGGTCAAAATCATGAGCCAAAACATTGCGTAGACTTGAAACCCTTGAAAGAAATAAAATAACGAAAACTCATCATTATCATTGAGATGTAGTGTATGTGAATTAGGATGGTACTACTTTATTAGTAATAGTATTAAGTAACCGAAATAGAAGAATGATTAAGACTAGTTGGAAGTGTAAGGGACTAGATATAAATAGTATTTTGATCAAATAACCAGTTAAATTACGGGAATAACGGAGACAGATTATTTATTTACTTTTAAAAAGAATGTAATAGATATAGTGGTATAACCGATAGTTTATAATATCAATTATGTGTGATAGAGTAACAAGCTTACTGATTCTGCATTCAAGGAGTTGTGATGGGTGAATAAGTTTCATTTAGAACTAGTTATACCGTCAGGTTGTAAACTAAATATTTCTTATCGTCTAGTCTCAAAGTCGACAAATATAGAAACCTGAGACGATGCACATATGTGTCGGGTTCTACATTATGTATGACTAACTGGTTTACAGGTCACTTGTGGAATCGCTTACTATCTGCCTAATTTACTAAATGATGTTTATCAAAAACAATAAAGAAAAAAATCTTTATTGTAAAACAATTCAACGTTAATCTAAGTTGTTAAGCTAATAAATAAATACCATTAATTAGTAGTGATGTAAATCTAAAGTGAAAACGTGCAACTTATAATCTAGACTACAATCAACACAAGGCTTTACGTCATATGTAGAAAAGATGGGACAAGGTTATTATTATTATTATTATTATTATTATTATTATTATTATTATTATTATTATTATTATTATTATTATTATTATTATTATTATTATATTCCAGTATGATGTTTGATCAAATTTCCTGCCCATGTGACCTGTACATCAATAATATACCTAGGAACATATAAGCTAGTTGTACACATAAGCATACAAACAACTATATCATATGACAAAAATCTATATCCTAGGTACAGTTTATTCAGATAGTCCGATGATAATGAGACAGGCAGACAGACAAAGATCTAAACAACTTGATGTAATGACAAAAAAATTTAGATTCATGTATATATGAAGAAATCTTTCTACATAAGGAAGTGAAAATAATAAATATAAAAATATATAAAGATATGAGGTACTATACACATATATGTAAATTAGACATTTCAACAGTAGAACATTGAAAAGGAAGAAAGGAATTTTCCCTTGAAAAACCTTGGACGAGATTACCAGGAGAAATGTTGGATTTACTTCAAATTCTTTTACTGAGATTTTACAAATACATTCTTCCTCTTTAATATCTCACATTAACTCCATATTAAATCTATTACACTAGTAGGTTGAATAAATAATGTTCAACACACGTTAATTTCTTTATCTCTTTACACAATACATAAATAGTAGATTGAAATCATGAGTCAATTGAAGCTAGACTACCATGAAAAACCTGGAAGCACTGGATGGACGTTTCGTCCCAGTATGGGACTCCTCAGTAGTGCGCATCCACGATCCCGTAAGATTCGAACCCAGGACCTATCAGTCTCGCACCAGGCGCTTAACCAACTAGACTACTGAGCCGGCATCCAATGGTGTTAATGTCTAACTTCAACCAATCCACGAAGTTGCGCCACCATATACCATTGTCTTCAGTAAGCTGATATCTCTCAACAGGCCTGGTTGAACTCCACTGGTAACGGCTTCTCACTAGAACTCCAGGAGTATCTCTTGAAGTCAGTCAGTAGTGAGCAGATGATTATTCTCAGAAGGGATTTGTGGAGATTTTAGAAATTCCACAGATTGAAATCATGAGTCAATTGAAGCTAGGCCACTGCTGAGGAGTCCCATACTAGAACGAAACGGCCGTCCAGTGCTTCTAGGATTTCCATGGTGGTCTAGCTTCAATTGACTCATGATTTCAATCTGTGAAATTTCTAAAATCTCCACAAATTCCTTCTGAACATAAATAGTAAACAGTAATTTCCCAACTGGTCAGATCAACTTTTTTTTTATAAAATAAGCACAATAATAAAATGATAAAATTAATATAGACAACTTTTAAGTAACACTAAAATAACCTTAGAAAACAAACTATCTATTAGGTTCAAAATAGGACTATGAATTAAGATGATAAACAGTTTAGGGTTTTTCCATATGATCGGGCTATCAGCTTTAATGTCAAAATACTATTTACCTACATGGATGAATAAGTTTCGTAAAAAAAAAGAATTCAAAAGATGCTATCTTAAACCTAATCAGTTCATCCATAAATCAAAGTCATACCAAAAACAGATGTAGATGAAAGCTTTGGATAATTACCGAGTTCGATAAATAAATGTGACTGTAAAATGTTAATAATAATAATAATAATAATAATAATAATAATAATAATAATAATAATAATAATAATAATAGTAATAGTAATAATAATAATAATAATAACTGAACTGAAAATTATTTTTGAGTGATCAAAATTACAGAATAAACTGTATACCAGAATTTATTATCCTTGTACATCAATGTTTTAAAGATATTCTTAAATCAACTAACACAATCAACACGGGAAACATTTGTTGACTTAGATTAATGATAATCTACTAGCAAAAACTAATTTATAACATAGATTACAAGAGGTTAGTTAGGCTATAGAAGGTTCACTTCCTCCAAATTAAAAAAAAAACATGAATTCACATACTACACATATTGATTAACGTGTCAATTCCAACTAGCCTTGTTGACAAATGTCAGCAAGCAAGAAACTCAGGCTCAAACCACCACATCAATCGACCTTTAACTACATAAAATCCGAAACTGAATTTTAAAAATATATCATGAATAATAGACACCATCCTACATAAGCGGTCGCACACCAAATCGGAGAGAAGTTCCAACATAGAACGAAGTAGCTAAAAATGAAGCTTCTTAATCATTATTCTGCGATAGTTGGAATTAGTGTATATATTACACTGAATGGTAAAAAAAACTATCACATTGTTAGGGATCAAGCAACCAAAGTAAAATACCAGTAGTGCGTTATACAATGAAATGTGCAGTATTACAGGCTTTGATAGCTCAAAACTCGAATTATATATATTATCCAAACGAGCACCAACTACATTACAAGTTGATGTGCAGAATCATCAAAACTCCTCTCTAAAGTAAGTGTACAACTTTTGACAAATATATAACGAATAAAACGTTAGGCTACTAAAACAACGCTTCATCCACATAGACAAATCGATTAAAAAAGTTTTCTTACGTTTGAGATAATAAGTTGTCATCTAGTGAGACAAGGCGACCTTGATCCATCAAAAAAATATACATGATGATAGCTGGAAATGGAAATGTTTAGGGAAAAAACATAAGTAAAATAAACTGGAAAAATCCCTTAAAACATTTACATAATTTACAACAATCAATTAACGGATAACATAATTTGACAATAATATACACAGAGTAATAGATTTTTAAAAGTTGTTAGACAACTAACAACTTAGGACCTAATATAAATGAGCATCGATCGAAGTTGTAACGTCATATATTAGCGTTGTGATAAAGCCATAATCAGAGAATTTGGAATATAGGTGTTTTGGTTCATGTTCCCACACCACATCAGCACAACAAAAGGGAATCAATAAGATGGGTAAGAATCTAAATAATACAGTATTATTATCACTTGTAGTAATAACAATGACTGTTGTAATTATTTGTCGTAATGATGATAGGAGCCCCCAAATGCCCTGGTACGGTCGAGGGTGGGGGAGTTCGTTCTCCCTCTCAAAGTGCTGTCACATGGCTACGCGTATACAGCCACCATCACAGGCGTCCTACTCAGTGCCTTCTCTCAGCGGGGATGTTGTTCACGAAATCGAGAGGACGAAGGGCGAATGTCCGGCGCTTTAACCGGGTTGGTGGTCACGGAGGGTCCACCTAGGGGAGTTGGAAAACCCTCATTCCAAATTAATGGTCTACATGGGCTTCAGGATCCTAAGGAAACAAATCGTTGGTCACCGGATACAATGGGACCGCATCTCCTGACGTTGCTCCACTGCCTTGTGGATCAGACCTTCAGGTCCAAGGCTCCAGGTGTGGCCACCTAACATGACCATCTGCTTCGGTTTGGGCACCCGGGAAGTATCACAGCCCACATATAAATCAAATGACTTGTGAGGCGCACATGTATTCGGTGCCCCTTTGTACCAATATGTGTTCAAATAAATAAATAATACTAGTATAGGGGTTGTGGAGATTATTAAGTTTTTGAGTGAGATCATGAACCGATTGATGTTAGACCATCACAATTGAAAGCCTGGAAGCACTGGACGGCCGTTTCGTCCTATTGTGGGACTCCTCAGCAGTGCGCATCCACGATCCTGCGGGCGGGATTCGAACCCAGGGCCTTCGGTCTCGCGCGCGAACGCTTAACCAACTGGACCACCGAGCCGGCATCCAATGGTGATAGTTTATAACATCAACCAATCCACGAAATTGCGCGACCAACTTCCGTTGTACTGAGGTAGATACCTGTCTCTACCCGACAAGGATTAGCTCCACTGGTCACGGCTTCTCACTAGAACTCCGAGAATTCCCTCACGAAGTTGGTCGCGCAATTTCGTGGATTGGTTGATGTTATAAACTATCACCATTGGATGCCGGCTCGGTGGTCCAGTTGGTTAAGCGTTCGCGCGCGGGACCGAAGGCCCTGGGTTCGAATCCCCCCCCCGCAGGATCGTGGATGCGCACTGCTGAGGAGTCCCACAATAGGACGAAACGGCCGTCCAGTGCTTCCAGGTTTTCAATTGTGATGGTCTAACATCAATCGGTTCATGATCTCAATCAAAATAAATAATAAATAACGATGATAAGAACCAAGCATCGAATACAGTTAGGTCTCCGTGATTCAATCGAAGCCTAGACAAAGAAGAAATGCAGAAGAGGACCAAACGACGTGTAGTCGTATTATCCATTGAAATGAAGACAACTAAGCACGAAAAATATTGTTCGAAAATAAATAAAATTGGGAACGAGAAAGTATGAAATAATGGTAAAACTTAAAGTACAAAAAAGAAAGGATGAGTGAATTTGTGTCAATGCAATCCATCTTCGGCCAACATCACCCACTCTCCATCCATGTATAATGATTATTACACCCGAACTGTTATTATCTCCGGTTCTTTCTTGATTGAAATTATTTATAACCTCTACACACCTTCAGCTAAGAATAGTAGCCAGAACGTCAATCTCAAAAATGTAAGAGAGATAATGTCATTTGTGTACTTTGATAAACAAGTACACATAAAAACAAGAATAACAGTATTAGCGATAGTTGTTTTACATATACTTTTAAGAATTTAACTTAAATAGTACTTCTATCCACATCCAACTGATCTCATTCTATCGTCGAAGTAAAGCAATCTCTACATGTTTCCTAAAATCATTATTCAATAATCAATACTGATTAAACGAATAGATTATGGTGAAATTTCAGTTAACATTATTTGGAATATTGAAATTACATTGGTCTATTATAAAACATAAACATTATTGAAAAATCAATTAAAAAGTAACTGGGGAAGTAACAGATAAAACTCAATGACATTGATTTTTATTTTCGTAATCAAAACAAAAAAACGGAATTATTTTTAGGGATAACAAAGAGAATAAATCAATATTAACGGTATGAATTTCTGTAATAATGTGAAGAAGAAGAAGAATAACCATATTATGGAGAATATTTACAGAAAGAAGTGATGAAATGAAAATAATCTTGAAAGTAAAAAGAGTGAAGGAGATCAATACAATATAGTTAATTTACATTAAATGTTGTAAGTTGATGGTAAACATAGATGTGAACATCGAAAAATTCAATAAATCGTTTTTCTTTCCCTTCATAATCAATGTAGAAATAAATAGGTCTGGAATCTGTGTGTTAAACCACACTCTTAGAACATATTATCACGTCTAGCATAGGAGACGAAATAGTGCAGTGGTAAAGGATAATGAAAAAGAGAGTATGTTTCAAAAAGGATGAAATGGAAAGATGTATAAGAAGGAATATTGAAGCTCAAGATCTTGAGCAAGATGAAGTATGAGTGAAAATGTCTTGCTGAGACCAATTATTACCCTCATGAATCAGCATCTCTAACCACTGATCATAGCTATGTCGCGAAATATCAAGTAGTCTGCATTTGTTAACGCGGCTCAGTTCAACAGTCAATGACTTCATGGATTAATAACATTTATCAGCTTGGCCACCGATAACTTCCTTCACTCTATTATCCCACCATCTAGCATCGCTTGTCGATGTAGGTTGTGACTTGGAATACGTAACACATGTTGTGACCTCATTAATTACTAATTATAAAATATCACAGGTGTAATGCTATAGGGACAACGACTTTTATTTTATCAGGAACGAAAGTTCAAAAAAGACGGTAAGCGAATATAATAATATTTTTACAATATTGACTGTTTGAAAGCAGAAATATCGAAAATTGAACAGTATATTTCGATCTTTAAAGGAAGTATAATTCTAACCCTCGAATAAAACCTTACAAAATAATGAACTGATTCATATCACTACACATTTAACAGTACATAAAGCTTGAAAACAGTAGGTCAAGCAAGATTGAAATCGATGGATAAGAAAAGGAATATCAGGTAATAGATGGTCAGAAGTAATAAGATTAACACACTGGTGCTATTGTGATTACTTTTAAACCATGTTACGATATAGGGTTTCAAACCTTCGATTTATAAAATCCCTGGGATTTTTGTCCTACTAAGTAACGCAAACCAATAAATAAGAACTTCATAAGATAATACTATATTTGTTTGACTATCGTCGAGTTGTTTCTAATCTACTTTCACTCAAATCAAGCACCTTACTCAAGATAAATGATGGCCTGAATACACATGTCACTTGTCTTGGGCACTTCAATAATTTCAGAACCACAGACCCGTAAAGTGACTTCTCTACAATTGCATATTCATCTTTATATATATATATATATATATATACGTTGCAGTTGGATAACTGACAACGGGAAACTTTTCTGACAATATTCTAAAAGCTTGTTCTACGTCCTTCTTGATTAGTTATTGTCGATAATAGTCTTCATCTGTCTACACGTATTGATGATATAGATAGATAGTTTATGTAATAGCTATATTGTACTGAACGAGAACTGAAGTTGGGAAAACCAATTCATCATTTAATGCCAAATTAGTGTCTTCGTTAAATATGAAAACCGTATATTAAATACATTATTTGCGCACCTTCCTTCAGTCGTCTTGCATGTGCTTCATGATTCTTCCAATTCTGTTGTTATTACAATTTCTATTTCCCTTCCTGTTCTCTTCAATTCAACTTTCTGCTGGTAGGCATTCTACTTCTGAATGCTGCCACATATTACTTATATCTATCAGTATAAGTAGCATACACCATAATATGAGCAATAAGTGTTTGTGGTAAATATCTCCCGTTCTGAGTGAATGCTGCTTGAATACTGGTCTACATTAACGCCTAAGCTGGTGACAGGGAGTGAAGTAGTTGAGTGTATCGGCCACTACTTAACTTTGAAGTCCCATCAGCTTTGTTCGGTTGGTGTCTGACGAAATCTCGGCACAGATTCAGAAATTTCGATTGGCCATTTCCAACTTGGGCCAATTGTGACGTAAACGGGGTGTTTACCTCCCAACTGAAGAACGAGTTTACTGCCCAGAAGTTTGCTTTGTTTTACTGTACGGTTATGAAACGTGGCCATTAAAAATATAGGATATATGTAAGTTACTAGTGTTTGGTCGTAGATGTCTTTAAAGCATTGTTAACGTATGTTGGAACCACCGAGTGACCAATATTGACTTTATACGCGGATGGTCTATGAGGTAGTGAATTTTCATTGACAAAAATGAATGGGTCATAAACTGCATATCCCCAAGCACCACCTACATCGAAGCGCGATGCCAGATGGTGCAAGGATGGATTGGGAGAAAGCTAGGATCAGTCAAAAAGATACGTGATATTATTCCATGAAGTCACTGACTGTTGAAATGAGCCGTGTTAGTAGATTGAGTCTATTTGGTTGTAGTCTACAAGATTATAGTGACCAACAGCTGGAAACGTTAGGTAAAATAACTTGGGATCTGTTGAGATAGAGTAGATGTATTCAATCGTCATCATTTACAATACTATTATTTCTATTACTTATCGCGCTGCGCTTATGTGGTCTGGCAATTAGATCCGGAGATATGTTTCAGGTTCTAGATTGGTTTGGAAGTAACCTTAAAGCAGTAATACATATACATACATATATTCTAAAATAGGTCAACCTAACCAGTGATAACTTACTTCAAGACTTTGTGACATTTTTTATACAAAAACTTGACTTACGATTTACTATATGACCTAGAACAGGCTATCCAAAGAAATTTGAACTTTGAAAATAATTTGACTTCACTCAATATCCCACTTCCATAATTATTTACACGATTGTTATCATCATTCAAAAAGTTTTCTAATATGATTACCATTCAGACTGTTGACTTGATGTTAAAATGACAACAATAATGATATACATTAAATTCGTGAAATTCTGAAACAAAAAACCAAGCAATCATGACAGATTTAAATGTCGACGAAGGTCTAGTTAAACGATGCGCGATACAGGTGATCCATACAAAATTACGCAATTGGGATGAACAGTCTGAGTGAGGTAATAGGGTATGCACTACGAACAAGTACCAACAGTTTGTGATAAACTTCCTTACCGCGACTTGTTATATAGATCATAATTGTGTAAACATTGTAATGGGATGGCTTAATAATGAAAAGTAACCGATGCTCAACCGCCGGTTAACAGTCTAAAACTAGGCTTAACTTACCTTAGTTTGCGGAGTCGAGTGGTTTCACTAGTCTTTACGAGGTGACTAAAAGCTGAGTATACAAATCCATACTTCTTAAGTATTCCTGAGAACCTACTCTGATCACTTATTATAGTACCACTGGTTGTCTCATAACTACCGTTTCTACTCAAGCTCATCGCTTGGTACCCCATAAGTCACTAGGTTATATTATTTGTTATTACATAAACAACAGCTTTGGTTTTCAACATACTGAGTGGATCAACCAGTGATTTCATCGTTGGGTATTGTATCGATTCTGTCAACAGTTCATCAATTCGCCCACCTATGATTCCAACAGCTTTTTCAGGTTAATTTCACCGCCATACTAGTTTAAAAGCAAACCAGTTAGTTATTAATCTACTTGTGAATGATTCAGTTCAGATGGTTAAATCAGTTTTAATCGACGGTGATTGGAAAGGACTATCAAATCGTTTCGATAGGATTGCTTCAACATGAAGTTCAATCTCATGCAATCAAGCTATCCTTTGAAAAAGCTCAGCAACTTTCGTGTCGTACGTGTTACTATGCAACATCCAGCTAACATTTCAAGCTATATTTATAAGGAATTCATTGTGGTGGAAAAAGCGGAACCGATGGAAGACTAAGGTAGAGTTCCATTTCCAAAAGATTTGAGGGATGAGCACTTAAAAGGATATCCATTAACTCGTATAAAGTTGCAGCCCACTGTATTAAGCATTTAGTTTCTATTCACTGACTAGTCTGTACTTAAATTTATGAAACACGTGTAGCACGTTGGAAACCTGAATCACAGAAACCATTTGGTTGCTGATGATTAGGTATATTATATGTATGAAACCATAGAAACGAAAGTTAATCTAATCTTGGTTAACAATCGTCTGAAGTTGTAGAAAAGTGTATGCAGATAAAATAAAATGGAATTTGGCTCAAAACGTCAGAGATTTAAGTTGCCACACAATACAAAATAGACTTAAGAATAAAAACGAATATGTATGAGGGAGAATGATGAACAATAAACTTTTCGAAGTTCACATTAAAAAGATAATCCATCCATATTATTAAGATTTATTTTGAACCGAAACACTCAGTGTCGCCGAAAACGTGAGACCTGATACTTAGAACACTGGTATATTGATTTGCGCTTCACAGCAAAACGAGAAAGTTTGCACGATGGTGAGGTGAAAATAATGATACCAATACTGTTAAAGTTCAGGAATGGAAAGTTTGAGGCAATTCTGTTCTTAGAGTCTATCTGAGTGGATGTACCACTGCGACCACTGATCATACTCATCTATTAGACCCCAACGAAGACACTCGAGCTTATGATAGTCAATACCATGAATACGTTTTAATTAGCGACTTTCAGTCCTTTTCCCAGCCTACGTGTGCATGCAATTTCCAAAGTTCTGGTTTGAAAAGATAAGTGAAATATGGTATGTATTCCCAAATAAAACAGATGACGAGCCTAGTATTTCAGTCAGTAGAACTATGCAGCAGGTCAGCATGCCAAAACCATGAAACAAGAAAAATACACGAATACGTCAATGTTCAGAACGTAGTTACCTGGGGTTTTTTTACAAACCAAAGGGTTCACAACACTATCAACAATGAATGATGGGATACTTATTACAGAATTAAATGTGTCTTATTCGACTACCTTGACAGTTTTCAGACAATTTGATTAACTTAGTAACAAGACAAAGCAGCTATTAACTTTTTAAAAATGAGTGACTTAATGTTACTACTAACAACGGATCTAATCCTATCCCCGAAGCTCTGGACAGCATAATGCGTTGTTCCAAATAAAAGAGCCGACGCTACGTGGTCTACACTTAGCCCTTCGTTATTCAGTACATAACGCTGATCTACGATTATCTGCTACACAAAATCAGCTAGATGCCATGAAAACTTTTGTTCTGACAAGGTTAAGATAATACGACTTTACACTTTTACTTGATGGAGTATAATCCGAAAACTTTCAGCTGTTGACACAATAAGCGTTCAAGGTCTTGGTTAAATCTGCCCCAAACTTCTCACGACACAACTCAATATCAGTCGTGAATAGAAAACGTAGAAACCCCAATCTAAGTTCAGTGTGAATCAAGGAAACTTAGATGTTTAACAAGTTTGATCCAACCAAAACGCTGAAGTAAACTATGTTTACTGGAAAAATATTAGTGATAAGGTGGAGTGTTGATTTAAAAATCACCAAATATTTAAAATGAACGATTAAGGAGAGTTTTACTCCCGGGATATAATAACAGATACGAACGTTTTTATAATGACAAACAAATACCATAAACACTAACCAATAACGTAAAAGACTATAAGGTGTCCTAGAGTCAGCTGTAACGATCAGGAGACATTAGCAAACAGACTATACAAACAAGGAAGGTCATACAATATTTCCTTGAACACATGAAGAAAGGAATAACACTCACAGTAAGTAGGAACAAAATTAATATAACCCTGTACTATTTATGACTTAAAAACCCTTCATTCAGTGAAGTATCGTTTTTAACACGTCTACAGATGAAGAGGAGCAATAAAACTACTGCTATATTTTTGATGATAAAGGGGTCGGGTTCAACAGCTACAGCTAGGCTCGTTAGTTAGGTCTAGTTCAGGCTCTATTTTGAGATACTCGGGCGAAAATAAGTCCATTCAATAGTCCCAGCGACGTCATTTTACGTAAAAATTCTGTGTTATCTCTTAGTTACGGTCATTTATTCTATAAGCTTAGCTTTACTTTCATATTTGTCATTCCCAGTATTTATAAGGTCAAAAAAGTCCCACGAATTAGTGCGTTGACGATAGGGTCGACTATCGATTATCCAGAACTCCATCCTCATTCTAAAATGTTTTATTCAAGGTATGAGTTACAAGTCACCCATGCTATTTCCGTGGGTTTAGAAGTCATCGTTATGCTGATGAAATCGTCAGAAGTAAGCGACTACGTTGGTTTTCGTTTTCTACAGGCGTAACGCCAGTTAAAATCCCTTTTATAGCAAATTGCCGAACTAAATGGTGGGATGATAGCATCGTCAAACAGATGATTTTAGGATTATTAACAACTATGACCAAATTTTTGTGCAAGAATCAATCATATCTGAGATCTTTTAATAAGTTAAACATGAGCTGCATCACTTCGAGTAGTCGAATTTACCATCGATTAGCAATATGAAACGTGATTTAACCTTTACTCTTATACCCAGAATAATGACAAATTTTATGGACGATATAGATTCTAATTAAGGTGATAGCTTTTACTGTCTGTAGCTACAATAAACCTGTATCACCATTAAAAAAATCCTATCTTCTAAAGCAACTCCTTGATAATTGGCATAGAATCGTAAATAAGGGATTTTCGGCTTCAGTCAACAGCATAGCACTCATTTAAACGAATTTCTGATTAGTTATGATCCGAAGATGTATTATTTACACAGAATATATGTTCTTCAGTGAGATAAACGGTATTGACGGTGAGTCGAGCCTTGAGTCTACATCTGAAAACCGGTGGTGTTTATTAGTGTTAATGGATGTACACCACTGTGATCAAAATTTTACATTTATACAAATAGTTAGACTGTGTGAGATTCGTTCAGGGAATTGAAGTACACTCTTACAATTATTTGCGTTCGATACGAAAGCCAGTTCACGAATTTCAATCATTTCTTGGTTGTAAATAAATCCCTGAAAGTCAGTAGCTCTGTAAGTTTTTAATATCTGATGCTGACCTCATTAGTTTTAATGGACTCACCTACCTAAGGCACTTGATCATGCATCCTCACCTGATCACGAGTGTTACACTGTGCTCCACTTCCCCTACAACTGCTAGTCAGCCTAGGCTAGTCAATTCTCGATATATCGGTACTCTATCAATTATATCTTCAAGCCTCTTTGCTTCCAACTTCTGATTTCACTTGTTGGCACGTTTAGATCATAAAAGGTATTACTGATTAAGGTGTTGCCAAACTCCAAATACTTGTGGCATCTTTGCTTTTAAATCCATAAAGTTGATAAGATAATGTTGTTTTGCAACTCCCTTTTGCTGCTCTCTTGCCTGGGTATCGTAAAACAAGTGGCCTAAGTATATGACCTCTTTATCTATATGTTTCTGTAAATCATTTTGAGATTTTAGACCATTTTTAGTAAGAAGTTAGAATAAAACGGAAACAATGAGTTAGTTCAGAATTCTTAGTAGACTTTCAAGTCCTGGTAAGTGTCAAAACGGGCTCCATACCATCCTACAGATGGTGATCACACACAATCTTATTGCAGTGTTGAGAAGACCTGGTTAAGTAATAGTTAACAGAACGTTAACGGCAACCGTAGCCGGCGAACATAGCCGTCTGTTATACGTCACAGATGTGACAACGAGAGTTCGCTACCTCGTCAACACTGGCGCAGAAGTTAGCGTTCTCTCAGCGAATTCTGACAACCGGCTTCACGAATCAGTTTAAATCTACAGGCGGCAAACGGAAAGCCTATCGCCACATACGGTAAAAGGCAAGTTTACCTTAACTTGGGTTTAAGCAAACCCATACACTGGATCTTCGTTGTTGAAGATGTTTCTATCCCAATCATTGGTATAGACCTTCTACAACATCATAATCTACTCATCGATATGCGCAAACGGAAGCTAGTAG